TGAGCTTTGAACAGAGCTAAACGCAAAGTGTGACGGAAGGACAGACGTAAGGACGGAAGGACAGAAGGACGGAAGACAGACATGACAAACACTATATGCCCCGGCCATATTCATGGCGGGGCATAAAAATATCTTGGATACTTTCTTTGAAGTTAAGCTACACACAAATTTGAAGTCAGGGTCAAAGGAAAGGTCAAGGTAAAAAATGTTGGTGCCATTGAATAGCTCTCATCAATATGTATAAACATATAGTGTTTGATAAAAATATCTTGAATACTTTCTTTGAAATTTAGCTAAACACAAATTTGAAGTCAAGGACAAAGGAAAGGTTGAGGTAAAAAATGTTGATGCCATTCATTGAATTTCTTTCATTAATATGTTAGGTATATAAAGTTTGATAAAATATTTTGTGAATACTTTCTTTGAAAATTAGGTAGAAATACTTTAAGTCAAGGTTAAAAGGAAAGGTCAAGGTTAAAAATGTTGAAGAAGTTGAAAGCTCTCGCCAATATGTATCAGCATATTAGGTTTGATTAAAATATATTGATTAGTTTCTTTGAAACTGAGCTTTATATTATTTTAAGAAAAGTGAGTTTAGGTCAAATGAAAGGCTAGATCAAAAAATGATGATGCTTTTGAACAGCTCAATATATATAAGCATAGAGGTTTGATAAAAAATATCCTAAGTTTCTATGAAATTCAGATAATCACAAATTTAAGAAAGTGAGGTCAAGGTCAAAGGAAAGGTACAGGTTAAACAATGTTGATGCAGTTGAATAGCTTTCACCAATATGTATCAACATATGAAGTTTGATAAAAAAAAATACTTGAATACTTTCTTTGAAACTTAGCTAAACACAAATTAAATTTAAGAAAAGTGAAGTCAAGGTCAAAGGAAAGGTCAACAAGCAAATTCAAAAAATTGTGGTCCACCGATTTCGGTGTCTTAGTGGTTTGAATGAAATGACTTACCCTGGACCCCTGGGTTAATTAGTGATTTTGGTAGAGAGCTCACAGACACTATGCATTTACACATTTTGTGTAATACTCATTCTGATGTTTAAGATAAAATATAGATGATGGCTGGTATCTTTTGAGGATTGCAGTAAATTTTTATTTTTTTGCTTTAGCTCTCATATATATATATATATATATATATATATATATATATATATATATATATATATATATATATAGAAAGCACAAAGAAATTCACTTTTATAGGTATACCCACTTCCGCCCCAGCCCGGGGTTGAACTCTCGACCTTCGGAATCTGTCTCCTAGCAGTACAGGAACAGCGCGCTAGACCGCTCGGCTATCTAGGCAAGTCAAAAAACTTGCTTTCGATGCCGATGGAATTCTCGCGGCGCTGTCCTACACTACACGGTCATTGAGAATGGAAGTGAGATACAGTTATTTGGACATTAGTTTTATTAGAGGATTGTTACCAATACACGTTGTAATGAAATTAATTTTTATTTATAAAGCACATTTTACAACAACTCTTAAACTTATATATATATATATATATATAGATAATTTTTTCATAATCCACAGTTGTGTCGTCACAATGGTTTTTGCGTTAGCGCGATGAAGTAAAATAAAGTGGAGTCCTATATAAAACAGTGTAAAACATTGGTTGTGAAGTATTAAACATGGGATAAAAAGAATCTCCCATGATTTGTAGTTGGATATGACTTTTATCCAACTCGTTGTGTGTTTTTATCCCCTCGCCAAGGCTCGGGGATAAAAAACACACAACTCGTTGGATAAAAATCATATCCAACTACAAATCATGGGAGATCCTATATATATATATATATATAGAGAGAGAGAGAGAGAGAGAGAGAAAATTAAAAAAAGAAAGGCAACACAGGTTAAAACATTAGCGCTTTCATTATTATCTTCAGACGTTTTACAAATACATAATAACGTTTTCTTGACTGTAATGTCTAACAAAACTATTAATACTTTAAAAATCATTATCTATAATTGAATCTGACAGCTAGCTATAAAATGCTTGCAGTAGGTTCACACTTCTGAAACCAAATCCAACATGTGTTTATATTACTAATTGAGAACATGGGAAGGTTATACTCTGTGTGAAAGTTTTGTCAGAAATCAAATTAAATCAAACTGTTAAGACTGGGTTTAAATTTTTGAATGAAATGTTTTTCTTTTCCTCTTCTTTCAATTACATTGTCTCTAAAAAGTTTATAAAATGGAAATACTTTAAATTGTCCGTGTCCGCATATATCTATATGTTCGCTGAGTTTCATCTTGCGGTACTCGGGGATTTGAATGTGTTGTTTATGCACCCGGATTCTGGCTCTCAATGTGGTCCTCGTTTCACCGATGTAGAATTGGTTACATCCTCCGCAAGTAATAACATATATTAAATTTTTGGACTCACATGTCATGTCCGAATTAATAAAAAAAATCATTTCCTCTGAAATTAAATGACGTTCCATGTCTTAGAAAAGGACATGTGCCACATCGCGGGTTTTTACACTTCGTCACGGATTTTGTAGATTTCCTTATTTTGGAAGGACAGAGCATTCTTCTGAGGTTTTTTGGCTGCCTTTTACTGTTTATAAATTTAAATTTTGATAAAACACTTGACATTTCTTCATCTGTTTTGAGGATACCATGGAGATTTTGAACGATAGGAGTAATATTTTGGTTGTTAGGGTTGTAAGTTGTGACTAGTGGTAATATTTTAATTTCCTCCACATCCTTAGCAGTTGGGTTAATTAATTCTTGCCTATCTAGTTCCTTTGCTTTCTTGATGCCGTCGTTAATTAAGTTTAAAGGATAATGTTGGTATGTGAGATATATTTTCAATTCCTCCAGACGTTGATTTCTGGTTTCTTCCTCACTGACTATTGTGCATATTCTTCGGGCTAGGTTGTATGGGATTGCTCTTTTAATGTGTCGTGGGTGGGAAGAACCAAAATGCAAATACTGATGAATGTCAGTATTTTTGTAAAATATATCTGTAGAAATTTTGTTGTTTTCCTTACAGATTAACACATCTAAAAATGGCAGTTGAGTGGAACTTTTTTCCATTGTAAATTTAATATCTGGGTCTAATTCATTCAAGATATCATTTAAAATGCTCAAATCTGAATCACCTTTTTTCCATATAATAAAACAATCATCTAGATATCTTTTCCAGTTTTTCTTAAGATATTCGCCAAATTCTTCATCAAATTGTTCACTGGCTTTTTCATAAAGTGTTTCTTCTAGATATCCAAGGGTGAGAGTTGCGTATGTAGGGGCCATTTTGGTACCCATAGCTGTGCCTTTCACTTGATGAAAATATTTTTCATTGAAAGTAAACACATTGTTCTTTAAAACTAATTCTGTAGCTTCTAATAAAAACTCCTTTGTAAATCGGTTGTCAATTTCATTTCTGTAATTTTCAATCCAGAATTTTAAAGCCTTGATTCCCAGGGTACTGGTTATATTGGTGTATAAATTCACTACATCTAAAGTAACGAGTTTTGTGTCATAATCGACTTGGTTAGGTAGATGTCGTAAAAAATCTAAATCATCTCGGACAAAACTTTTAACGTGTTGGCAGAGATGTTTTAACACTATATCTAGTAGATTGCTGAGACGTTGGGTAGGTGCTGCGGGTCCTCCAACAATTGGTCGGAATGTTAAATTCTGTGGATTTTCACAAACAATGTATTCCGTATTTTGTTTTTGTATAGCTTCTTTGATTAATTTTGATTTGTGAATTTTAGGTAGTCCATAGAAACAACTTTCCTTATAGTCAAAGTCAGTTACAAAATCTTCCTCATTCTCTGTTAATGCTGAGGGGTGTTCATGTAACAATTTCTTAATTTTTTGCATGGTTTTTTTATCCTGGGTTTCAGTAACTTCTGTGTAGAATTCTGTATTGGAAAGCATCTGTATTATCTTTGTTTCATAGAAGTCAGCGTCCATGATAACCACGGCTCCACCTTTATCAGCTTCTTTAATGATGATAGTTTCATCACTTGCTAATGATCTTAAAGCTTTCTCCTCTCTTTTAGACAAGTTCTTTCTAATAATTCGGACATGACATGTGAGTCCAAAAATTTAATATATGTTATTACTTGCGGAGGATGTAACCAATTCTACATCGGTGAAACGGGGACCACATTGAGAACCAGAATCCGGGTGCATAAACAACACATTCAAGTCCCCGAGTACCGCAAGATGAAACTCAGTGAACATATAGATATATGCGGACACGGACAATTTAAAGTATTTCCATTTTATAAACTTTTTAGAGACAATGTAATTGAAAGAAGAGAAAAAGAAAAACATTTCATTCAAAAATTTAAACCCAGTCTTAACAGTTTGATTTAATTTGATTTCTGACAAAACTTTCACACAGAGTATAACCTTCCCATGTTCTCAATTAGTAATATAAACACATGTTGGATTTGGTTTCAGAAGTGTGAACCTACTGCAAGCATTTTATAGCTAGCTGTCAGATTCAATTATAGATAATGATTTTTAAAGTATTAATAGTTTTGTTAGACATTACAGTCAGGAAAACATTATTATGTATTTGTAAAACGTCTGAAGATAATAATGAAAGCGCTAACGTTTTAACCTGTGTTGCCTTTCTTTTTTTAATTTTATCTATATAAAAACCGGACACTGTGAATGTTTCAAGTTTGGATATATATATATATATATATATTTATATATTTGTCTTTATATTTTTAGGGGTGGGGTGGTCCAAATCCTTTACACCTAAAAATGTACCAAAACTGTTTGAAACTGGCTCTTCAGAGAAACTGAAAATATTGAAGGGTAAATTTTCACCTTCAGTTGATGACTAAAATCCACAAACAAAAGGTCATCTGAGCAATTCATCTGACCAAAAAATCATGGAGCCCTCATCCAGCCGATTCCAACTGTCAATTTACATCTGATAAATATATAAACCTACTCCTGATTAAAATCATCCTAATGTGTATTAATAACTTTTACTTACAATCATATGGAGGCTTCCATTTGAAGTTGGCCACCATCAGGTTTCCATTTTCCTGGCGGTCCACACTAACCCTCATGTCCCGAGCTGCTCCTGGCCATTTTCGTTCGTCCTTCCCTAAACATCAGTCCAAATACCATTTTGTAAACATGATAAAGTGTTTCCATTTATTTTTTAAATGGATTGAAAGAACCATTTTGATAATTGTACAATATTCTTCAGAATTTTTTGCTTTTAAATTTCTACAATTCATTGAAATTCAAAAAAATCATTTTTTAATGGTTCTTAAATTGTTTGTGACCAATTGTTCTGATCAGTCTGGATTTCAAAATTGCAGATGGAATCTAACTTCAAAGACAAGTAAACTCTGGGAATTCAGAAGTGAAAAGATTTGTCTTGGAATCAGAATTTTAATCTGTCATTACAAAGATGTTTTGGTGACAATATAGTTATACTAATGTTTCTGCATTTAGAAAGCAGTTAGAGAGCTGACTGAGCTCCTATAAACACTTTTGAGTACATATATAGTTATAATTATCTTTTTTTAGAAATCCAGGTCAACATAATGTACGTCTAGTACCAAAATAAATTACAGATAAAAGAAATAATAGCTCTAAGGGAACTGTGATTCTTCTCAGGTGCTACTTCGAAATCTATAGGAAAGTTTCATCATAAAGTATGGTCAATAAAACTCAGAGTGCATGAGAAAAGAAGCAAATTACAGTAATTTGATCTGAAGTATTGAATGGTATCCAGTTGACAATTACATGCATACAGATCAATTTTCAGATGAAATGAGATGCCATCCTTGAAGTTGATCTGATGATTTGCACCCCATGAGATGTCATCAAACCCCTCAAAACCAAGGTACTGTAGTATATGGTTCAATTTATTACCATTTTTTGAGGGATAAAAAAAAACTGGAAGTCTCTGGGGAGACTGTAGCTCTACTGGTTATATTTATAATAAAAGAAAAGAAATGTAGCACCTGGACTTAAAACATTTTTGGTTTTACATTTTTCATAAATATATGAATGAACTCAAAATGTTAAGGTGTGTTATCCTTTTACCATTAAATGATGAAGGGCCCTAATATTGATAAGGTTGATAGAAATAAACACTTCTTTTATTTAGAAAAAAAGACTAACAAAACAGAATTAAGTGGGTGGACATTAACATATGGATCTGACAAGCCAATAATTATAACTATATATGTACTCAAAAGTGTTCATAGGAGCTCAGTCAGCTCTCTAACTGCTTTCTAAATGCAGAAACATCAGTATAATTATATTGTCACCAAAACATACCAATTTTGATCCTGTAAGTCCTTGCATGCTGAGTTTAGCCCCTAAATTAATCTGAGTGTTAATTATTAACTTACAAATATCTTTGTCGTAACCAGGGAAACAGTTCGGTGGCATCTGCTGTATGTGACACATAACATCCTTCTGCAAAGAAATGGCAAATTTATATAAAAAAGAAATCATTCAAACATTCCCTTGACAGGAAAGAAACAGCTATACTAATCTTTTTTTTTCTTATAAAATCCTTTAAAAACTTCCAGTATTTATGCAAAAGTGTGATGATAATTTAGAAGATTTACATGGGAAGGATTAACTTTCTTGCTTAAATAAATCCTATATTTAGATCCACTGAATATTATCTCCTTTATTTCTTATGAAAAACCATGGTCATTTATTAATACTTAAATGCTGCTAAGCAAGCCACCTGTAGAGATTTTTTGAGCAGTGACTCTTCCATCAATGAAACCTACAATAATGTTCATATTATATACATCTATAATACTTTAGTGTTTTAGAGTATAATACTCTAATAAATATATTGATTGATTGATATCTATAAAACAATATTTAATGTACAGCTTAATCCTAATCCTACTTTGTATGATTATTTTTACAGACATAAATTAATATAATCAATTAAATGGCTCTTCCATGAATGAAACATACAAACTATACAGTCTATATTTATATATTTATAATAGAACAGTTAATGTACATAATCCTGATCCTTCTTTATATGATTATTTATACAGACATAAATATAATCAATAGAATGTCCTTCTTTGTTTCTTAGTATGGAAATTAACATTGCAGCTATCGGAGAGAGAAAAAAATTACATAACCCGCTTATGCATTAATTTTTTTCTGCAACAGCTGCAACATTAATTCCCATACTAACAACCAAAGAAAGCATTTTATTGTATAAGAGAACACTACTCTGCATTGAATACCTCTGTGAAATACTACTACTAGTCAAACACATTTATAGCAAAGTGCAAGGGTCATGAACAATTTTGATTTGTTATATAATCAAAACATTATTCACCATGTTCACAATATACAACTTTACAAGTTGACAACTTAAATTTGCAATATGTCACTTTGAAATACATCTCTAAGACTACTGTCTAATCTTTCAAAACTAAGTACAGTAAAACTCTGTATATTTAGTACGAACATGGATATAAAAGTGAAGTTTTTTGGAGTCCCCAGCAAAATTCTTAACAATTCTTTGTAAAATTTTACGGTTATAATGAACTCTGATATAACAAATTTACAAGCAAACTGATTTTGAGTCCTGTAGAGGTTAAAAATAATATTATTTGCATCTTTTATAACAAATTTTCAAAGATCTTAAAAACTGATATATTGAACTGACTTTAATTTAGTTAAGTATTTGTATATCAATTCAATTCATAATAAAACCTTAGTTATCCAAGGTATGTTTTGTTATATAATTGCTTCTCTAACATATTCAGTAGTAATACTTGAAGGAAAACGTGTATATTGCGAATTCGCTATATAAACTTATATGAATTCGTTATATGGATATAATGAATTACAGGTATAGCAAAGTAAATTCGCAGGTCCCCAGGACTTTGCTATAACCAAGTTAATTTTACTGTATACATTAAATTTGGCATAAATTAATTGTGCATGGCAAGATATATTCTGGTGAATCTAAGATATTTCTTGCAAGTGAATAATTGTTGAAATAATTGTTGAAAAGTGAATAATAAAATAACCTCGGTGTTTAAGCTTTAAAGTTTTTCCCATATTGGCTTTATATGATTAACAATTATGATATCAAAATTTCCTTGTTTGAAGTTCAAATATAAATTAGAAACCGGGACCCCATGGTAAATGTGATTGGATATGATTTTAATTCAATAAGTTGTATGTTTTCCATCAATGAGATTTTGGTAAGGATAGAATACAGAGTGTGGTAACAGTATATGAAAATTTTTTTTCAAATGAGTGATATCTAATATAGACGAGAATTTAATAAATGGTCTTAATTAAATGCATTCAAGACTGAACAGTCACAAAGGTTATATACTAACTTTTACTTTCAGACACCAAGAAATACTGTAACTGCTATACTGTTTACTTCTCTCCCCACATTAATATATAATTACTATATACATAAAAAGTTTGAGGTTTCAAAAAGGGGGGAATGGTTGAAATCTGACCAGGATTTGAACCATGGACCTGATCTGCTCCAGTGTCATGCAGATATCCTTTTTTGAGCTTCAGGATCTCTGATGATAGCTATCAAACCTAACCTTCACTGCAATCAACCAACTAGTCTCCAGCAAGACACTGATCACTATCCCCTTGCAAGATTATTTTGGGTTAATTGGGCTGGCAACTGGTGCATCAAATGCCTGTAGCCAGTAGAAAGAACATGCAAAAACCTGACTCCAGATTTGAACGAGTGAACCTTGACTCTACTTATTTATCATGTTCATGTGGATTAATATATAGTCAATGAGAAATTGGAATCCATCATGACTAATGCAAAATTTGATTCAAAATGTTTGTGACTGCAGATGGATTCCTCTACTCTTTGACATGTTGAACAATTTAATCAACATGTATAGACGCTGTACAAACTTAGCTACCCTGAATGCTTTGGCAAAAGAACTGGCCAATCATTACATTACATTTTGCAGAAGGTCAAACTCCAAAGTCAAGGGCAAAAGGGTCAAATAAGTTGATATTCAAGGAACAGTCTTGTTACAAGGAATACACCTGTGAAATATAAAAGCCACAGCACGAACCATTCAAAAGTTATGGAAAAGATTTAAGGTTTTTGCAGACAACAGAGAGACAGACATACCAAATCTATATGCCTTTCTTCAATTATGGGGGAAAAACAGACAAACAGCTAGACAGATGAACAGACCAAAAACTGTATGCCACCAAATCTTTGATTACTGGGGCATAAAAATGTCTTAACCTCATGCAATTTTCAAGACATAGACCAAAATTCTTCCCTTTTGCAATTTTTGTTTGTTAGTTCAATGGGAAGCATTTTTAGGTTCATTATAACAAAATTAATCTTAATGTAAAGAAAGAAGAAAATGAAGAGACCTATTTTAATTTAACCTTTTAAATGTCCTATTTTAATCTGACTTTGATATAAGTGGGTGTTTTATCAGCTGAATTTATACCAGGGAGGTCTTCTGCTCAGAGAGGTAGCTGATTCAGCATGCCTGAGTTAACCAGGCAGTGAATGCTACAGTGCATTACATGTTTTCAATATTTCTCCTCATTAGGTGTATTAAGTGAAGCATATTTTTAAATCATGGAGCATGTACTTGAAGCATATCACAAAGATCATTTTATTTGTGGTGAATAAAAAGAAACATACAAGTTTAACTATGATCATGATGATACTAAAATGAAACTTGTCTTAATTCCTTTCATGAAAATGTTCCAATATAATACTATATATGCATGCTTTCAACATATGCTCTTAATGATCAGTTACACTGTTTTAGTCTACTGGGGAATAAAAACATGCAAGTGGACAGTGGGGTACTCCCTCAATCCCTTCCCTCACCCCTACTTTTTCCCCTTCTTCCTTTTTTCTCTCTCCTTCTACCTTCCCATATTTCTCCATGCCTCCCCTTTTTCTGCTCAACCCTTTTAAGTTTTCTCTGTAGTTAATTTTGTTTTTTTAAGGACTGCTGCTAAGTACAGAAGCCATCCATACTAGCCAGGTAGATCATCTTTCAGAGACCTCTAGCAAAAATCAATACTCTTCTTTCAGAAAAAGCCTAAGCTCTGCCATGTCTACTATGGCACTTCCCTTGCTGAATTATCTCAAACCTCTACAATATATGTCTGGAGAAAAAAATCAGTTCCAAACTTTGACAACAAATAAGAAATTTTGAGACAATTTGCAATATTAATGTTTGTATAGAGAACTGATTCCAAATTGTCATATATATATATATATATATATATATATATATATATATATATATATATATATATATATATATATATATATATATACCATGTATACAGTCAAACCTCATTATCTCAAACTCAATGAGATCAAGAAAAAACTTTGAGGGGTAAAATACTAAAAGAAAAAGGGGTTGGGACTTCCAAATCACTTTGACATATCCATGGTATTTGAGATATCAGTGTTCGAGATACCGAAGTTTAACTGTATATATACACTAGACAAAATTGCTAATGCTCCACCTAAATAAACTAACATTTTTCTTTTCAAAACTTGTTTATGATGTTTTTGATATATAATTATGTCACTTTAATAAAAATTGAGACATTTAAATGTTTTAACTGATAAATAACAACAATGTTTACTGAAGCTTAACCACTTCATAGAAAAAATTAAAATCATGTCCATACATTTTTGGTGGAATAAATTTCTATATTTTTCTTTGTGGTTGTGTTCTTTATGTTTGTGCTATAATTTTAAAAAACTCAGAAAAAAGTTACACCATATGTGGCGTTTGACTCTAGAAGAGCGTGCTAAGGCAGCCAGTGTGGTGTCTGCAGGGGGTTCTTTTGAAGAAATTTGTGAAAAATTAAAACAATTAAAAGATTATGCATTTCTCTGATGAAAAATTGTTGAAAATGAATAAACAATCATAAAATTGTTTACAATAGATAGTGATGGCATTAAGTAAGCACCACACAATAACTTCAAGATTGTTTCACGAAATTGGGGCAACCAGAAGTTGGATGGATTTGGTAGAGACACCAAGAAACTGGATGACTACTAAGTGATATGGTAGTCAATCAGTGTATATCGTTTGATTTTTTAGTGGGAGACTGCTCCCGTCGCAACCTCATGGACTACCTTCTGTAATTAAGAGTGAAACAATACACCTCCTTCATGGTTCGATAAGTATTGTATAATTTTGTCTCTGTACGGTTATTTTCGATACAATACATTTTGATAGAAGGAAACAAATTCAACCTTGTTTTATGCTTTCTTTTACTAAATCTAGTCACTTAATTTACGAATTTTTATTTTGCAAACTGACTAGAAGAAATTGATTAGAATTATTTGACTGTCAAAAACTATTTTACAAACTATCAGTCATCAAAAATTTATGTTTTCTATACTTATTTATAGTGAGTAACGTGTTTTACCTTAT